GCAGCGACACCATGACATTACATTCTCCCCAGAAACAATGACATGAATCCGATTTATAACTGGTGGTAAAACTTTATTATTCAAGTTTAGATGTAACAGACATCTTTGCTGCCTGAAGATTGTTTGCATAAGAAATACACCAAGAACATGTTTGTGAGTAGAAATGAACATGCACTATGAAAACCAAAAAACAAAACAAAAAACCCAAAACAAAACAAAACAAAAAACACATCCATGTGTTGTAAGGACAAAACAATAAGAGCCAGCATTCTAGAGTCAAATCAGGGCTACAAGTTTAATGATGGTTTTTAGCAACATGAAGTCATTCTTTATTAAGTACTTTTTTTTCTTTTTTTCTATTTATCCTGCTGGTGAATTTTCTATAAGCTAAACATACAATGGCATTTTGAGATGTTTCCTTTTCACCTATTCTCCTTTTATATGAGCTCAGAGGCCAAAATGACAGGACATTGCACAGAAAACTGTGGTAGATGCTCGGTTTATTCTAAGCATTTTACTTTCCTAAGTGTATTGGAAAAAAGAAGAAGAAGAAAAAAAGGCTTTGGGTTGTGAACCATTAGATTATTGTCTTTTATCCCCTTAAAATGAGGGAAATTGGGTTTACATATGATTTCTGTATAGGTAGCATCTCGCCAACTGCTGGCTCTCCAGAACCAGCTGCATGAAAGAAAACTGTGAGGAAGAAGGTAGGGATGAATCCTATTCTGGGGTAAGGAAATAATGCAAATAATTCTACTTGGCTCATCTTAACTTTACAGAAAAGTTTAGAAGGGATTTTTCACTTATCTATCACATTTGGGATATGCTGACAAATTGCTCACTATCCTTTGCCAAGCATAACTGTCTCCACAGAAGCAGAAGGAAATGTATCTACCCTTCTGGATGAACATCAGTGAACTTCTAATCTCTTTGGCTTTTCCTGACCAGTATTAGGAATTAGCATGTTAAACTGGCCAAGAAAAATCAATACAGGAGCAAGAATGGGAACATATTCGTGCATCCTGGGCAAAAGCAGATAGTAGACAATATCCTCAGGGCATAATGCAAGCAATTATGACTAGAAAGCAACACTGCCCTGTCCAGAGATGGACTTAAAAGTCCACCCTACAGCTTCTAAACCAGATCTCCCCACTGCATAATCACTGAGTCTCAGCACTGCATACAGTTAGCACTGGTGACTTTTGTTCTGTTGCTCCTGGTTGAAAAAAAAAACACCTCTTCCTCACCCTCAGCATGCTTACCCTTCCCAAGATGTCTCTGTGCTCTCTCTTTTACAACTGACACCAGTGCACCAGCACACTTTTAGCCGAAGCAAAGATAGAAGGTATCCAGTGTCATCTTTCAGCATAGAGGCAATCTGGAGCAAAACTTCTGTTGGAAAGTGCTCAAAGTTGAGGACCTGATCTCAAACTGCGCTCCAGTAAATCATCATCTCCTGCTGCATTAAATTAGGGGGCAGCAGCCACGAAGTGATAGCTTAAAGACAGTTTGGTTTGCAGAAGATGCTGCATGACAGGTCTGCTATACAGTGTTAATTCATCAGAAGTGGAAAATGTTCCTGTTCTGCAAGTTCCGATACCACGCACCCTGTTTTTGAACCCTCTGTTCAGTTCGGGGTGCCATTTGAGATGCATTTTCAGATCTCCAACAATCACTCGTAAATAAGAGAAGCACTACATTTGAAGACACTGGAATGCTAAGAATAAAGACTTTCTGAAAGTATTAAGTTTTAGTGCTGCAAGTTGATTGAAATGCAGTGGGTGCACTGAATAATTGTGTGTGCTAACATGGGTTTGCACCTGAGAGTTATTTATTCAGGATTTATTCTTCCTTTGATCCACATGAGGGGGACTGGAATAGGAATGGGATCACCTCTTTTGTTAATAAGCGTAACTGTGCTCCCCTCATCCCAATCAAAGAGAACAGGCTACAGCAAAGTCCATTTCTTACAAAACAGAAATCTCAGAACATCTCAATATGTCATGGCAAGAATAACACACTTTCTTTCCTCCAATTTTATTTGCACTATCTAGGTGCACTATTAATATCAAAATCTGTCTTGTTCTTTGCGCTCTTAACATTTCATTTCTCCTCATTCCCAAACCCTGATGGGTGTATTTCTCCTTAATGGCCTCTTGCACCCGAGTAGCAAGAGATACTATGAAGTACAGGGCGGTGCTCAAGTTCTATAATGCGCATGTCCCCCATAACATATTTTGCCATGAAGATGCAGCTTCTATCAGCGAAGAAGCCACAGGTAGGTCTCGGAAGAAATAAGTCAAAACAGTAACTACTGATAACCGGCAGGCAGCTAAATCTGAAGCCAATAAAATCACTGCTAAGTGAGCCTAACGTTTTGTGGAAAAGCTGAAAAGGACACACACTGGACCCTGACGTAACAAAACGAGGGCAATCTATTTCAGTCCCCACAGAAAGAAAAAAAAAAAAAAGAAAAAAAAAAAAAAAAGGAAACAAAAAATACCCAACAAAAATAAATCAACAAAAACCAAGTCAGAACTTATTACTGGAGAACAATAGTAAAAACATAACCAGACATTGTCCGGCAATGGTATCAAACAGGAGATTCATCTAAAAATAGAATAAGAAGAATGTGGCCCAATATCCTTTGCTAACCTAGAACACTAATAAAGGTTTATAGAACTCAACCATGAATGGATTGAGTGGGATTTTCCATATGCTGCTCACCAGTATAGAAGCAATGGGTGGAGCAGGAAGGAATGCAAGCCTAACGATGAACAATAGCCTGTCTGTGCCTAACAAATCAGAGAAACTGTGCAATAATGTTTCATCTGCGTAAAAATGTAACATCTGAAATACCGCCAAGGTCAGTGAGACCTTTGGTGATCTGCTGTATAAGTGCTTCTCATGCATGGTGATGGTCATTCCCGGCTCCCTTAGGCACGTTATTTTTCAAAAGACTACCAAAGTGCTGAATGTTTAGGCCAGTTCCTCCCTGTTTTCCTTTTGCCAACCCCTGTAAGACGTCTCCTATCATCTCTCCACTTATCTTCCACCTCCCTGTCTATCTGGTTAAGTATCTTATAAGTGCACCAAATCCTACAAGGGAGAGTGGTGAGATTCAGGTATGTTAAATACAAGAACGTTTTTTTTTTTTTTATGATGCTTTAGTTTCAATTACATGAAAATCTGAGAAAGGCGGCATGTAAGTGAGATCAGAATAGGACCCTTTACATATAATCTCAAGTGAGGACTTAGTCCAGAGATATTTTTATAGAACATTTTAAAAAATAAATTGCATGAATGGAGAAATAAAAGACAACATAGTATCAGAAAGACATTTTAAACTTCATTCGCTGCAACATTCATGAACCAGTTGAGCTACACCTGCCATCCAACCATAAGGAGCTAAGACCCTGCACTGCGAAAAAGAAACAAACCCAAACAAAACAAAAAAGCAACTGCGTAATATTGTAAAAATGGAGTGCAATGCTACTACAGAATGCAATAAAACATCAGCGCTGCATCGTCAAACAGCACTTATCAAAATAATTTCTGAAATGTTTCTTCTGAAACACAGACAAAGCAATAAAAAGAGGATATATGTTTATCATTTTAAGCATAACAATGTGAGTTAAGAGCTTAAGAATACAAAAGTACTTGGAATGAATAGTGCTACCCTTTTTCTCCTAAGTAGGCATAAAAATATTTTCATTTCCTTCTTGTTTTTCCATACCATTAATATCAACAAATTTCATTCATTTCATGTTATCGTTTACAACTTTAATGCACACACACAGAAAAAAAGATACCTACTGCAATAGAAATAGTTGCTTCATTACCTTGTTTGCTACATTTGCAAATGTAAACAGCGAGGCAGAGCCAGAACTGACTCTAATGCATGATGGAATATCTTTGTTGCATACGTACACTGTAGAAAATAATTATTCAATATGTCAGGCACCATTATTTGAAATGTAATACATTAATATTTACTAGAAAAATAAGGTTTTTTTTCTATTTGTTCTCCCAACTTCTTTAATGAAATAAGTTAATCTGACAGTGCATCCAGTAGCTTGTAATATCTTCTACATCCCTGTGGCAAAATAATAAACTACTGGTTGGGACACTATAATGAAAATGATTAAAGTCAGTTCTTGTACACCCTTGTAGCAAGCATGGAGGCTCGTCTAACAGCACCTTTACCAATTATTTAATATTTAGTTATTTAGCCCTATTTCCCTGAGCAGTTATGCTGAGGAGCTTTCCCTTCATGGACAGTTTTTACAAAGCTTTAAGTATTAAAAAGTACTATGAAGACATTTAATGCTACTTAGCAAAAGCTGGTATAAGTCTACTGAAGGGACTGACTGGTACGTATAGCAATGTTAAGTCTGTGGAGAAGTAACCTTAGACTTTAAGGTTTAGAAATGTAATATATTAAAATATATTAAAATAAAATACAGCAGGTTACCTTGTTCCACGCAAATTAAACCCAGAGTGTGGCTTCTGTGTTAGAGACTTCACTAGCACAAAATGGTTTTCCTAGACTAAAGTAAGCCAGAAAGAATGTAGTGATAAAATGGTAGCTAAAAATCAGCTGAGTCTGAGAAACACCTAGATGAAATTGCTGCCAAAGCTTTGAGGAGAAAGTGATCCTAAGGCATGTTGTAGGGCAGAAATTAGCCCAAATTCAGAAAAAGAAAATGACCTTTTAACATCTGTATATTTAACAAGTCTAGCTCTTATATACAATGTGCATATGTTCACTACACCTCTGCAGCAGTACATACATATACACATCTTTGCACTCTTGCCAGTTATGTCTCTTACACAACAGCAAAGATATCAAATGTCCGGTAAAATGTCCTCAAAGTTATTTGCCATGGTACACTGCATTCTGGCTAGCTTTGGTGGGCCGTGTCCCATATTACTATCTCCTCCACCTACAGGCCACCACACAGTTGTTCTTTTTTTTTCTTGGTAACCCACTCATTTAAAAGAAAAAAAAATAAAAATAAAAATAAAAATTAAAAAAAAAAATAAGAAAAAGGAAGAAAAAGAAAAGACAAGGGGTTTAATATTGGATAAGGCATGCTCTCTATATGAAGTGCTTTATAGGTCTTCACAAGACATTACAAGCTATTGAATTCCCATCAAGGAAACCTATTTCTGTTTAATTGTGCTAAGTGCTAAGGTTTACTCTTTAGGTTTTCCATTCTTTTCAGCTTGTGCATTGTTCCTGTGTAGGCCCCTCTGGATGTGAGTTGTGAAGTCATACTTGTCCGTGCAAAGATGCTGGCATATGCTGCACTGGAAAGGTCCACTGTCACCATGGCAACTCATATGCAAAGCATACATCACTTCATCCAGAAAGACAATGCCACAGTGCACACACTTGGTAGAAAGTTCATCTTGAGTACTTCTATCAACTTTCTCTGTTTTTACTACATTCAAGGGACCTTCATTTTTTACAGTTGGTGGTGCCTTACTCTTTTCCTTGGAGGCACCATTTGCAGTTGGCCCAGGTCTGGAATGCTTTATCGCCAAATCTAGAGGAATGTCATTGTCTGATCCAACAGCTGAAAAATGAGGAGGCAGATTAAAGGTGGGATAAGGCACATAGTTTTGGCAAGGATTTGGTAGGCCAGGCACATGACTCAAGTAGTGTGGATTCCCAGGAACAGACAGCTTATATTTACTCCAGAATCTCAGCCAGTCAGCTTCACTCTGAAAGTCATTGTGTACAAACGGAAGTCCAAAAAGTGGGTACTGGTATTTTTCAATAGGGCTTCCAGGTGGTGAATAGTTTGGGTGTTTCGCAGGTCTCATATACTTTTCTATCGGGCTGCCTCTCTCTGAGCTTCCTTTCCCTTCTGATATGGATGAACTGTTGCCTGGGTCTCCAGTACTTTCCTGAGGACTTTTTATCTGAATGTGCAAAGGTTGCATCCTTTTGTGAATATCCAGAGATTGGCTGACCAATATTGGCTGCTGAGCAGAATGGCTTTTAGTCAATGAACCTTGGGCCTCATATTTACTGAGGCTGGGAAGCTGAATTTCTCTCTGATGACCTTCAGTTAAGTGATCCTCTGACCTCCTCTCTAAGGGGCTTCCATTGACTTGCTCCTCACTGCTACCCCTCTGCTGTTTGTTTAGCTGCTCAGCCTGAAGTGCCTCCGGGTTAAGGCGCTTTCTTGTTCGTCTTCTAATGATCTGCTCACCATTGTTCTGCTTAATGATGTTTAAAGGCCTGGGAGTCTGCATGGAACACACACATAATGAACAAAAGGGAAAAAGAAAGAGACATTAAACAAATCTACCCGACCAGGTTCATGCAAATTTATCTTTTCTTTTGTGAAAAGATGTAATACAAGAGAGTTTTAAGGAAATTACTATTTTTCACAAATAAAGCAAACCAAAAGGCTGCTACTTGGTCCCTCATGTTAAAAATAAGCTGTGATTTGCTTTGTTTTATCACACTGAGTGAACCATCTCAGTACTATACCTTTTTGCTTAAAAAAGGATGAAGCCTCCAACTTGTCCTATTTCTGAAAAAGTCTGGGAGAGATCTGCTGAAAGAGGGTGCTGAGAGCTAAAGATTAGGTGGGGGATGCATGGCTCTACACACTAGTGTTACTCCATATACTATGTCACAAGGGCTGGTACTAGCCAGGGGTTTGCACAGATCACACTACAGCAAGAACTGGGTATTACTTACCTTTACACCTATCCCATTTTTCTATAAATAAGAAACGACAGTAAAAAACATGACTTTCTGATCATCACCACTGTTACCTAGCAGAACGGAGGCAGACCTGCACAAAGATGCTGGGACTTTGTCACCAATGCCTCTTCCTTCATTCCTGATTTATTTTTTCCCAGATGTTATAATGCTGTGCTACATGAGGGAGAGAGGAAGGCCCCAGAAGGAGGGAAAGGGTCTGCAAAGAAAAAAACAGCCAGGAAGAGGCAGAACCAAGCAAGGCCTTCTGTTTCCATTTGATACTTCCCCACACCAGCTCAGAGTAGGTGGCCTATTTAGAGAAGAGCTGAAAATACTTCTGCATGAAGGAAGAAAAATAGTATGAGGTAGGACAGCTGCCAGGCCTCTTTGAAAGGCCGCTCGGCATGAAGGCAATGGTATGTGCATGAAAGATGGTACTGTAACGTCAGTATGTGTTGCTCTACTGGGCAGATGTTAAAACAACAAAACTACCTAAAACTCATTCAGTTTGGTGCTCTGGAGCTGCCATTTGTCTCATCCAAATGCAGACATAATCCTGATTTGGTTGGAGGCCAAAGAAGTGCCCCACAAAGTATTCCACTTATATGTTTACTTGGGAATTTTCCTTTTAACATTGTTTTAAAGAGCAGACTAAATTTTGGCCTACAATCAGTATCCAATTTGTAACTCAAATGTAACATAATTTTGTATATTAATATAAAAGTATCCAGAGCTGGAGTTCTCACTCTTCTACTTATTTCTCTCTCTCAATGATGCCATTTTCTCTTTTTCAATCTATTTACTTTCCTGATGTCTACTCATTTTAATGGTTAACCACATTTTAGGCAGTGCAGCTACTTGTTCAGATTCTACCTTCTACTAAAAATCTAAATAAAAAGACTGTGATTTAGAGTCTAAATACACAAAATTTCAACCCAGTAGAAAAGGAGCATCTGAACCAATCTCAAAGAGACCAAAGTACGCCAAGGCATAATCATGTTCAGATTAAATTAGAATATTTCAATGTAAATTTTATAATAAGTTAATAATAAGCAAATAAAGTTTATAGTTGCAGATCCAATGGCCAATTAATATACATATTACAAGCTCAGCTTAACTTCCTTACTTTTTGGTGACACTGTCATATTGACAAAGTGTGACAGAACTTACAAATCTGTTGATGTTGCTCACATTAAACTTTGATTTATACGCTACAGAACACTTTCATATGGGTTCAGAATATAATTTCCAGAGATTTGGTAATACTTTTAACCTTGCTACAGGTATGAAATCTGATCCTGCAAGCAGTTACAAGAAACATCTTCACACCTGTAAACGAGGATCCTCACACCCATCTGCATTTCAACTCACTTTGCTGGAAGTTAATGGCTGTAGGCACAACTTAACAATACTTCTGACCAGTCTTCAGCTGATTAAAACAGCATATTCAGTCGAGTAACACTACACATGCATTTCCTATTTATAGTAAAAAGGGGCAGACAGAAATATTATGTGTGTTTGCAAGCAGAGACAAAAAAAATTACTCACTTCTAGATAATCAATGGGGCACTCAAATTAGAAAACAGAATTTGCCAAAATTTTCCTTTTCAAATGTCTTGTATCAGATCTTTGATTATTCATTACACATAATGTTATGAAGTATAATTTTTTTTTTTGACATCTCTATCAACTGGTGATCTTCATCCCTCAAAAGTACAAGTAACATAAAAATAAAAGAAAATTCAGCAAATATTTCAGTGAATTATTTTGACTATTCTCCCTATACAAAATGGGAAATTGCTGTGACCTCTGCACTAGGAGATCATTTATATCTAGTCCTAGAGTAATATGCTGTAACCCCTCAAGGAAGTAGTCTGAGAATTTGGCCAAAGAATCTCTACCGAACAAAATCTAGCTTTCCATGACTGTATTAGAGTTATTAAACAAAGAGGAATAATGCCACAATATAAGCGGTCAAATTCATGACTTTTTGTGGAGAGAAAAAGTCACTTTCCACACCAGTAAGTGTGAATATTGTGTATGTGCTTTCACTGACATGAAAGTATCTTTTTTCACTTGAACTATTTTAATAACTGACCATTTAAATATTATTACACATTTCGTAACATATTTGTCTGCATTAAGGGAGAGAAATGTGAAACATCTGACAAGCTTCATGCGAATGGTCCATAGATATATTGATAGAAAGGAAATGTGACTCATACCAGGAATCATTACAATATTAACATTTATCAGTCCATATGTCTTTAGTACTATGGGACAGATCATGGATTTTTCTCCTTACTAAACACCAGTAAAACATGAGACTGCAGATAAGTGTATGATACACTTTCTTAAGCATTGATTGATTAATGAGCACAGTAGTTTTAAGCAGTGATAATCCAATTAAAAGGTAGCTATGAAATGTACAAACCTACTAGAGGTGAATAATTTTATTCAGTTGAGTAGCACAATTTAGTTTAATGGGGCAGCTTAAAGGAGGGAACAGTTCTGCTCCCTTGGATTTTTTTTGCATTTTCAGCCTAATAACTGTATCATCCTATACTCCTTAATTAAAAAAATACATAAATGACAAATACTTACTATAATTTTTCATGAAGAGATAGCTAGAGAGATACACAGGTAAAACAAATCTTCAAATTCTGCAGTTACACAAGAATATGGCACTGTCTTAAACAGTGTCCCAATGGAGACACTGTGGAGAGACGTGTTTGATTATTTAAGAACCCAGTTCACACCGAAGTTGCTACTGTATCACAGCAAAATGGTGTCTTAATAGAATTCTTAGTATTTGTTTGGTAGAAGTTCAATTGTAGATATTAATGTCAAGTATCCACTTAATGACAGCTTATTGTCATGCTTGGGCAGTGGATTTAAAATCTTCTTTTTTCCTGTATGTATAAATGAAGTTTGACATTGCATTGCTAACTATTACGGTGGGAAGCATACTAGTTTGAGCCACATGGTTCATAAGAATTATCTGAACTACGTTATTAATTCAAAACTAATACTTGCCTCTTTTATACAGTCGTTAAGTTATACTAGTAATTATGATGAACTTCAACACTTTAATTTAGAAATTTATATCATATAAAGGAAAAGTGGAAGCTGTCCATAGAAATTCTAAGAATAAATGGAATCAAATGTCAAATTAATGTTCCAAAGCCAAATTGTCCTTTTTAAACCTTTGTAGATGCTCAGAGTAATCAATGTAACTTAAATCAGAATGCATTTAGAACTTTCAGAGTTCTCCAGGAAAATGATACTTTCAGCAAGACCTGACCAAGATGCTGGCCAGAAATCATGCATTAGTCTATCTTCTCTCAATTAGTTGTCATCTGACTGGTTGGGATGTTCTGGAGCTAAAAAACAGTTACTGATCTCAGAAAACAGAGCTACTGCTTAACAATGGTGATCATCTTGCTGCTTACGAAAACTGGAATACTTGCTATAAAGTGATCTTGAGTAAACAGGATTGTTATATGGCCTGCGCATGAGACAAAGGAGAAAATCCATACAAATTATTGACTTATTTAGAAGCTTATGCCTCAAATTTGTAGATACATAAGCACTTGAGTAATAATGCATTTGAAATAGTTTCCTGTTTTTTTGTTGCTGGTTTTTTGGTTTTTTTTTTCATTTTGAAAATGTAATTTCTAAAAAATGTTTTAAGAAAATGCATTCTCAACCAAAACACAGGTTTCTGATTTTGGCTGAAACTCTAGATTGTTACACTGCCTTGGCAAAATCCCAAAGTCCAGCCTCCCTTACCAAAAACCAGTACCACTTTCTAATTTCATAGCAGGGAATAATATTTAACCCAACAATAAAAAAAAATAAAAATATTAAAAATAATATTGGGTCTTAATCTAAAAGATTCTGAGCATTTTGGAACAGATCCAAAGAAACACTTAAACGTGGCTTTCCTGGACCTGGACCAAAGCATTCAGCATATCTCAGGATCAAGCCAAGTGTCGATAAGATGAAAAGCAATACAGACAGCCCATGATTATTACTTATTCCATGCCTGATCCAGAGGAATGATGAAAAATTATCTCAGAAATTAATGAGTGCCATCGCATGAGCAGTTCCTTGTTACTTCTGAATCCTGAAGCAGACTACAAGAACTGTGGAAAAAAACCTAAAAAAAAAACCAACCAACAAACAAAAAGAACCCCAAAGAATTTCTACAAAATTTGGTGTGAAGAATAAAGGGGGGAGAAGAGTAAAAGCAAGCAAAAAACAGTATTTTTGATAAGTAGAGAGCTTCATCACAACATACTGTTTGCCTATAAATGGAATTCCCAGAAAAGAAATAATTTTCCCCTTATTTCGTATCAAAATAATTAAATGCATCACTGGTGATCTCAAACACGTCTACCCACAGCATCCCAGCCTTTTGCATAATGAATCACATCTGATTCCAAAGTGACCATACTGCAAATCCCCATTAGGAAATTAACTGCAGGCCAGGGAGTGGTAGTAATCACACAACCAGGCAAGACCACAGTTGCCCAGCTTAACTGTATAACCCCTTTTTTCTGAACAAACCAGCAAGTTCTTCCTACCGAGTGAAGCTTCTGGTAGAGGCCACACGCATTGCATACATATCCACCATTTGCATTCTTTCGCCAGAGAGAGGTCTTTGTGGTCAGGCAATTGGCACAAAAAACACCCGAGCCTCTACGTCTCTGAAATAGGGAAGAAGGAAAAAAAACACAGAAAAAAAAAAACAGGTCAGAGGTGAGTCACATGATCTGCGGAGTTAGGACAAATCAACACAGGAGTTTTGTCTCTAGACTGGCAACAATGACAGTATAAACCCACACTGCCCATAATGAGGTCAGGTTCAATTGTGCTTAATAGGCACCACTGATTTTCATTATAATTAACCCTGGAGTGATGGATGAGGTGTGTGAAACACCAAAGCCTTTTCAGAATAACAGCTTTAACTTTTTGAACTTCAGGTTTTGTGCATTTAATGATCGTTTCTAAACAGCAAATTCTGAAAAACCACTCTGGAAGCTGACAGAGAACATTCTGTAAACTTCTCCTGTTTTGTTCACTGCGTTTCACAACAGATTATTTCTTTTCCCGTTGCTTGATTTTAAAGTGCGATTGGTAACAGGGATCCCGAAACACCACCATGATAATTAGTTGCAGTTTGTATTTGCGTCATACTAATTCCTTTACTAGAGACTATACTTCATTAATTGAATACACGATATTCAGTTCCAGTCGTTCCCACTCACTTCAGAAAGCAGAGTAAGAGCATAGACTTCCCTCCACCCGCTAAGAACAAGGAGTAACCTCTGCCAAACAAATAAAAGTACAGTATGCTTAATGAGACCTCTTTTGAGCTTTACCTGAAATCCACGAAAACAGTCTCATCAGCACACAGACATATTTAGTTTATTCAGGCAAAGAAAGGCACAGTACAACTTTCCTAAATACCAACTGATTTTTAACCAGACTGAGCTGTGCATTCATCAGCTTTCATAATGATCCAAGAATATTTAAAAGTAGACAAGTTTATGAGTATTGCTCGTTAAATTCTTTCTGCAGAGCAATGATTTTATTAAATCTCTCATTTAAATAAAAGTCAGGCTGTGTTTGTGGGCACAAATACTAATAAGCAGGAAATGCAATTCTTTTGCTGAAAAGAAAATCTGAATTTCAACTCTGTTCCCTTTTAGCAAAGGAAAAAAAGTCAGTAAGAAACCTTCAGCATCGAAGATAAGAATGGTCGAGTATAGAGAAAAACAGTCTGGGTGAAAACTAATTTTATTATAAATTAAAAATTACTAGCACTATAAGTCAAAATTTCAGGGTTTCATAAAATTTAAGTAATTTATTTAACTTTAGTCTATACTGTAGAAGACCAGTGTTCATGCCAAAAAAATACAATGGTTATAATTGTACTCTGATACATTTCAAATGGAAAGCTTTCTGCAGACATAATTTTGGCTTCAAGACTGGAACACTTTCTTGGCATTGAAAGGGCATTTGATTCATCGGGTGTTTCACAATGTATCACTAAAAAGACCTGGTGAGCAGCCAGTTCCCTATAGGGTAATTTTTCCATCCAGATGCAAGTGCTATCAGAGGCCCTCGTCAGCTAAACTAATTATGATCTTGCATTTGCTGATGCCTGCTCACTCTAACATTCGACATCCTCTATTAATCATCAATACAAGGAAAATGAATGAAACGTAAAGAAACGAGGGCTGGTAAGCTGCACAGCCATAAAAATTTGAAATGAGTGCAATAATTTAACAAGATTGGGGAAATGTTTTTAGTGAGCACAAAGTCAGGCTAACAATTGCCCTTTTAAACCAAGAACACAATTTCATTAGTACAGCAGGTTGTGATACTTTAAGGTGATACAATAAAATCTAGATTGTCGTCGAGATAATCTCTCTCTCACCCTCTTACATCATCTCCTAGTTTGTCTCTTAAATCAGAAGCAGTAATGCACTGTTTCTCCATTTGGGTAGGGGGAGGACTGAATAGCAGCCGATATCTTCAGCCAACATTGAACACTGTGTATTCGAGACAGCGTCCACTGGGAAGGTGCCTTCACCTCCCAGTAAACTGGAGCTCCTAGCGCTGTTTGTGGTTGCATACCCCAGCAAAACTTCACCTGGCTTCTGAAATATTTTCCTTCAGAGCACAATGAAAGATTCACTAAACTAACCCCAGTTTGGTCCATTTGAAAGGCGAGAAGTTTCCAAGCGGAAATGACTGTATATGGCCAGGATTCAGACACAACTGCCTAACTGTTCCTTTCCATTCCTACTTTTTGTCTCTCGGCCTATGGTTTCTTGGTGCGGTATATTAAACAAGTAGAGTCTTAATCTGAGTAAGTCTTTCCACCCTTTTATTTCTGTTTGCATTACTTGAGCTGTGGAAATAGCCTCTACAATGTCATGGAAGACTTTTAAAATACAGAGAAGGTACTTTAGGGTTTATGCTCTGTATTCACATACACCTGAATGGTGACGGAAGGAGACTGAAATCCTCACTGAACCATATGGAACTAGTACATATTTAAAACACTGAGAAAAGTAATTCCATTTCCATGTTTGTTTTTTTAGAGAAAACATTTCATTCATTTTAATGAAACATTTCATGGCTTTCAGACGCAATGAAATAAAGCTGACAAGAAGCTACAAATTACCAAAAAAAATACCAATGCACCAAAATATAGGTACATATTATATAGATATATATAGATATATAAATATACATCTCTATATAGACATATAAATATATATAGATACTTAGATATACACTAGAACTGATAGACACTTCCCTATATTTAACACAGATTTATCTTTCTCCACCTTCCTAGTCTCTTATCGTTCTGCTATTTAAAGACTGTACGGGAAAATCAACAATCATAATTCCTCAGAAAAACTGTTCCAACTATTACACTACTGAATTAAAAATTAAATCACCTCTGGAAAAAATAAATGCTGGTGCTTTGGAGAGCTTTTTTGTTTGTTTGTTTCTTTGTTTTTAAACAGCGTTTTATAAGGGGGATGTGTTGCTTTTAAGTGGATTTCCTGAGTGAACAGGACTGGGGCAGAATCAGAGCATATTCTTTGCTCCCAAATCCCACTAACTAGAGAACTGGCCTGCTTGTTAAATATGTACCTGAGACACATTGATCATCCCTCCAAGAAAAAGTGGAAAAAATGGAAGCTCTTCTTACAAGGCTATAATGCTCCTAGTTCTCTTCTCCTAAACTCTAATAGCTTTCTTAAAAAAGAAAAAAAAAAAATGTTTGGCCTTTACTTTCCATATAGAGAAATCATGTTATGAATCATGTTATTAGCAAACAGGAGTTATCTGAGTAGTTATTTTTTTGTCCTGGAAGTTAATTAGTGATGACATTTCTACTTCATGAGTGTCTGTTTGGCTTTGCATATTCAGCTTTTATGTTAGTCAAGAACAACGGCCAATACTGCTAATATTTTGGGATAGTCTCACAAAGTAGCAGACATTTGAGCTCCAATTCAGCAAAATTTGAACAACAGCAACAGACCACAGCCTCAGTAAATCCCAGGCATATGCTCAAGAGCTGCGCTATGAACAAACCCTGGCCACCATTTTAAAGAAATATGGAACCCTTTGCTCTTTTTCAAACATGAACAGACTTATCATAATTAAAGAATCTCTTAAGATCAGCCCAGGAAAGGTAAATCAATTTAACTAATCATGGGAAGGCTTGAGCCACAGTCTCCCACTCAGTGCCACAAGCGCTAACAGGAGGTATCAATGAAAATTTCCCATATAACTTTGGAAGAAAAGCCTGAAGGATGTAAGTAACTAAAATATGTATCTACTAAGTCAAGCCTTAATCATCTGGAGCCTTGTAACCACTACATTACAGTCACAAATCCTGAAGGGGCCAGTGCAGTTTCTGTATTTCCATTCCAACTCCTGGCTTTGGGCGTTTAACATCATGGTTGTCTCAAATCACATTGGGCTAAAACTTGGCACATGTTTTTCTCAGCCCAGATGTAACCTTACTTTTTTTGTTGTTGTTTTTGTACTGAAAACTTTATTTAAATCAGTTCAGCTGTTTATAATTTGGAGATTTGCCAAAATTGAGGTGGGGGTAGTGAGAGTGGACAGGGGAATTCCAAGTTCTTCATATAACTTTGGGAGAAATAAAGCATGTGCACATTTTAATATTATAGCAAAGCAACAAGTGGATTATTATTTTTATATAACTAAGCTAGGAAAGTTTGTAACTATTCACTGAAAAAGCACTACAGATCTCTCTACTGTTTTCCCTTAGTAAGAACCATACTGAAAGCATGTAATTGTATAACAAACCTTGATATGCAGAGTATTTACTCACATTTTGTATGGTTTTATATCTTGACCATTTCTAATTGAACAAATCTGAAACCTGGTATACACATCATCAGGTTTGAATGGGTAATTTTTTTTTTTTTTTAACTCCTTACATGGTTTTCAATAATTTAAACAAGAGAATTATTAGTGATTTTTGCTAGCCAGTAAAATAGCAGAGAGTACTGTAAGAAGTTATTCATTTAGGTGTATTGACAGTATCAGGCCCTTGTTTTTCATTTAAAAAAACATCATGTTTTAGATTGTAAAAATGATGTCTCACATTTTATACAATTTCAAATTTTCTAGCCATGCAGAAGTGTCATTACTTTTCAGTAATAGACGAATACTTAAAACACAGTGTACTTTCAGATGGTATTTTAACAGAACTTCATTTAGAAAAATATATATTGTAAATATAAAAAAGCCAAAGACGCTGCTCAAAAATGGTGGCTTTTTAGAAAGCCAGACTAATTGAGGGTGCTTGACTTCTAGTTCCAAATACATCCCCTTTTCAAAATTTCTGCCAGAAGATACTTTCAGAAACTCAAATAGGCTCCACAGGCATCAGCCAAGCGTTTTTCTGACATCATTCTTCCTCGATTTTGGACACAACAAAATTTGCATTTTTGCTGATTACTTTCACTTCCCTATCACAAAACGATGATACAATGAAGCCTGGATGTCCATCTTTGGCTTTCTTCTGTGACAAAAATGGATAACATTATAATCACAGGTCCAGAATATATCCAGTGCAGACGTCATAAAATCACAGAATAGCTTGGGTTGCAAGGGACCATAAAGACCATTTAGTTCCAATCTTTCA